GAATGTAAATCAACCAACAGTCGCGCCTCTGATCGGGTATGTAACCTATTATGAAATCTCCCGATGAACTCATCGTCAAACAATGTTCCACGTGGAGTTTTAGCTGTTTGATTGAGAAGTCGTTCACATAATGCCACATCTTCAGGAGTTGGTCCCGCGTCTGATGGATGCATAAAGTAGCCCTTGGTCTCAAGGATTAAGACATAGTTCATATCCTTATATGTACGTGATTTAGTATCTGCGCTCGCGCTGGGCGACATGAGGCAAAGTCGCCCCATATCTGTTTCTTGCTCAAGATCATTCAATGTTAATAGCGACTGTGGTTGTGTGGATGGCTGATTTATAGCCTCAATCTCGCCTTGCGAAGGAGGTTTAGGTATCCACTGAAAGATTATGCCTTCGCGTTCAGTTGTCGATTCGGGAGCGACCACAGTAAGTTTCTGTTCTGGCTTGTCGAATTGCTAGAAATCAGTTAGATCATGATGTCAATAGATGAATACTTGCCACCGACCTGAGTAGCAATTTTCTCTCTTCCAGGTATAATCACCTGCTTTGGGTTCGATAGTATTGGATCTTTGCTCAAACTGTCTTGACGTCGCAGCCTGTCTGGCGGTTCGTCCCCATCACTGAGGGAATGATATAAACCTGGGACAATTTCACGTTCCATGGCCAAGAATTTATAGAATGTGGTAAACAACTAACGGATCTACTGGAATGATCCTGATGGATATAGGTAAAACTATGTCGTTCTCGACCCATTATATATTTCCGCCCTGCCATTGTGAGCAAGTCTCCAAGGATCCAAATAAAGAAGAGCAAAGGAGCAAAAGAATGAAAGGACGAAAGGATGAAAGAGAGAAAGAGAAGAAGCTGGAAGAGAAAGACTGTTAGGTAGTCAACATGAATATAAATAGTAACAACCATAGCGGCTATTAGTTAAACCTTATTTCATTTAGGCGCCATCCCTCTATTAGGTGAGATCGGACAACGGCCAAAGTTGACAGCTAGCTTGTTATCGGCTGCGCCACAGTAGGCTGATTCTCCGCGCAGCATTTATTTAATTCTGAGCATTTAACTTATGCACAAAATTGCAGTTATCATATTCCCATTTTTATTTTATTTAATTACAACCAGGTATCATAAAGGCCTTGCTTATCTGGCAGTCGTTTCAAATGTTCTCCTTCCCAGCCCAACTCGAGTCGGATCAGCAGCCACGGAACTGGTATCAAGACCTTCTGGACCATCCGGACTGCCAGGGCGACCCTGTAAGTAAAATGCATACAAATTCAACCAATTATTCGATGCATGTAGGATGCCCCGGACTGACCCCCTTGAGGACGCAGGTAAAGGTGCAGCAGGCCTATGAGTCCTACAGACATGGGAGCCTGACAAGGTCTCTTACATCCTTGACACAGGCGGACGGCAAGCCAAAGATTACACCTAGTCCGGCCCTTGTTCAGTATCTCTCTTACGTCGTAAACGACACCACGCCTAAGGAGGTCGAAAATCATTATAGAGATGAGAACCTTAATTGTATGGTTATTTGGGCGCGTCCAAGACAGAAAATCCTCGACCTGCTGATAGGTCTACAAAATAGGCTAAAAGATGTAGTCGGAACTGGTGAGGGATAACTAGTATAACTTACAAGTCTAATATTCCTGGCTGACAACAGACGGTAGATATGTGGTTTCCTGAGCCCTCTAGGTTGCATTTATCTGTCATTGAGATCTCGCATCGCCATCCAATGGCCCATCTGCGGTCTGTATTTGACCAAATTGGAAAATCGCTCTTCCAGAAATTACTGGACCATCCAGCTACCCTTGCGGCAACTGAATCTAGGACTTCTCGTCTTGGGAGACCGATGCTGCTCTTTGACGGCGTTGGAGTAGCCATCTCATTCGTTCCAGTTGGGACTGACCAGTACACCTACCACCATCTGCGGGCAGACCTGCACAACATGGCTGTAAGCAGTGGAATCAAGACAGACACATGTTACACTGCTTGTATGAGCCATATCACACTTGGCCGCTTTGTATCTTCAAAAAACTTCGATTTGGAAACTGCCGAAATGGCTCAGCAGCGGCTCAGAGACTGGATAAATACTATCCAATCTATAAATAAAGAGCTCAATGAGTATTACCAGGCCAACGACTGGGAATGGACTGTTGGAGAAGAGAAGGGGCTGGAACTGCAGATGGGCATGCTCAAGTTTGGGCGGGATACAGACGCGGCCGAAATGGCTGGACGATGCTTCGGTGATGAAGCTATGCCATCAATGACAGCTAATTAGCGCTCTCAATTAAAAGGGATATCATGGCGTATCTACAACGAATTCCGTAGCCACACATGAAATCTACGGTTTTTACGATTCTTCGCCCTAATTTAAAAATTATCCACCAGAAGAAGCGAACACGGGTAAAGAAAGAAGGCTATACTGTATTAGGAGAGCCGCAAGGCTGTGCTTCGAAGCCCAGAACTATTTACAGCAGAGTCAACACCCTTCTAAATGATCGAATATCGAAAATCTGCTCGTCTTCTTCCTTGCTATGCCAACCATGGACAAACTTGACTGGCAGAACTATCCCCTTGGCCTGTCCTCGTATTCACCAGCTCTTGACGATGGACGGCTCTGTCAGAAGGAACTAAAATCAGTATCGACCTCATGGCGGTCAGAGAAATACCCAGCTGCCTCGAAGGTGTTGGTCCTGGATCACGATCGTGGCGTAGGTATGTCATGATTGTCTAGATGTTAACAATATAACCATTCGAGTGAACTTTGGTTCTTCTGCGGGAATCCCGGAAGTTTGTTCAGCGGCTGATCAGTTTCTTTCCGTAAACGTGAAGGGAAGAAACAACTTTGCGACGATGAGGCACTGCATAAGTTGTTGGTAAGTAAACCGCTCGTTGCAATAGCTACTTGATGAAATTATTTCATATATCAACGGCGTGGTGATTCTAACTCGTTTTATTGCAGGCTGGACCCCAACCCCAGATACGTTTCATGTAACCACGCCTTTACCACCAACCTCTACGATTGTGAATACATCTTTGTGACTGTTACCCTGTCCTCTCAGACTACTAGAATCGACTCCTCACGAGAAAGTCTTGCACCGTATAAACACGAATGCCGCCGCTGTTAGCGTACTCAAAGCCAATGCGCTTGTCGACGAGAAGGCCGAGGCTCACGGCGAAGACGAAGTCGCGGACGAACTGAACATTTCGCTGGACTCTCTACTTAAAGTCTTGACTCGATATGATTTCCCTCCTTCCGCCTGCTCGCATATACGGGGACAAGAGCAGATATTTGGATCCCGCATTGGGCGAGATGAGCAGAAGAATGACGTAACTACATTTGGTATATACACTCTCACGGGGTGGGCGATATGAAGCTGACTGTAGCCTTGGATAGATTTCTGGTATGCAATACGAGCAAGAGCGTACATTCGTGCCGTTGATAAAGAGGCAGATTTGAAGATGACTATAGTGACACACTACGACGTCAAATCGCAATCGAGCATCATACTATTAAAGCATCGCTCATTCAACGATCTTCCCAAATCGCTAAAGGATGAACTTCACGATAAATTGATAGATTTTATCCTTGACCCTAGCACCGCCTCTCTCGCAGGGAACCCATTCGCGCTACACCTCCTCCATTTCAATAGTACCATTCAGTATTATCGACGGGCCGCCCGAGATCCCCGAGATTCTGTTGGAAAGGAAGAGATCAAGGCACATGGAGGGAGTTCTGACCTAGGAGAGATCGATATACGACGACTACATCTGACTCTTACCAGTCTCGACCAAGATAAGCTGCAATTAAATTTTATCCTTGGGGTTCTCTCACGCTTGCGGAAGCAGCATGACCAGTTTTATAGGATGGTGAAGGGTACTCCTGATCCAGATAGCCGGGATTGGCTGTATACCCGTGTAGAGGAGGAGTATGATCGTTTTGAGAACCAGATCACATACTTCAAAACGTCAATAGAGAATGTGGCAACCCGAGCGCAAAGGCTTTTGGACCTGGTGGGTTTTTTTCTCACACCTTCCTCATAGCTAGGACTGTACTGATTTGAAACCTTTGCTAGCTTTTCAACTTAAGCACCCGGCATAGCACGCATTTTAGTGCTCGCATGGCAGAAGAAGCAATGAAGGAGAGTGCGTCTATGAGCACTATTGCAATTATGACCATGGTCTTCCTTCCAGGGACATTTGTTGCTGTAAGCGATTTTAGCGTCTTTTAAGGCGTAGATGAACGCATTGCTAATAGAAATATAGGGGTTTCTAGGGACAAATCTTGTGTCAGGCCCCGGTCAGTCTGATGGTCCTTCCATGAAAAACAGCAATACCACAATTTGTGATATCGTCCCAGTGGTGGATTTTTTCAAGTAGCAACTATTCCGCTGACCTTGCTTACATTTTCTACTGTGGTATTTGTGGAAGGTGTATGCCGAACGGATGGTCAATAAACGCATCCTAAAGGATATACACATGCAAGGCGAGGTTTGATTTACTATACCCACATATAATTAGTTTTTACTACTTGCTTCCTATGGAGGTGGTTGTGGATGCACATCATGGAATATATCCTCAGACGATTATGTCCCTGCAGTTTTTCCATTTTAATTCGAAACAAATTTGTTCTCCTTCACAGGTGAACAATATGGATAAATCTTTTACTTAAGATTAGCCCACGCGGGCTCTTGTTCGATAAATTCCTTCCAGGTTGTTGGTGGTTCATCAAGAAGCTATGCAACGAAATGTTAACAACCTCCTGTTGCGCAAAGTTGATAGACGATTATCACCTACCGCAAGGCTCTCCTTTAGGCTTGCACCCCCATAGTATCCATACATATACAAAAGCTGCATGTTCTGAAGCATCTCTTCCCGAGCTTTCTCTGGCAATGCATCCTTGAAATCCTTGTCCGAAATCTGAATGGCAGCACCGCCCTTACCGTCCTGTGGCTTGACGGTTTGGAACTCGGCAACTATGCGGTCTGGAGTATAGTAATCAGTGGCACCGTATATCTGCTTGCCAAGTACCTTTTCACGGTTAAGCAGGATGGCCTTGACAAACTTTCCCGTATCTCGGCCAGTATCGAAAAGGGGAATGGGAGCGTCGTTTGGAATTGGGTTCTTGAAGTTGTACACTCCGTCCGCGTTGTTCAGGGACCCTCCAGGAATATTGGACATGTAGTATCCAGGAAGGAAGAAGGTGGCCGGAACGCCAATTTTGCGAATGTATTCCTCTACAGTGGCCTTGGAGTCAAAGTGAGAGACTCCTTTGAGTTTTCCACCAGATACTTATGCATTGTTAGCTTGATGGATCTTTGGTCGGGGGGCCATAAAGGGACCGCACCTTGAGTTACATTGATCAAACTACTCCAGACCAAATGCTGGACATCGTTCGCCTATTCCCATAACGTAAGTAGTTGGTATAAGGACCACAAAGGGGGCAGACACACTTTGGCAGCATCAGCAATGTTCTTTCCCTGCTGGATCTCTGTATCAGCACTTCCAGTCTCCCAGAAATTGGTCACAGCATAGACGGCGTATGCGCCCTTGAGAGCTTCAGTAACTGAATCTTTACTATTGAGATCAGCCTGTATATATATAGCGTCAGTTAGCTGGTACATGGATCAATATCAATCAAAGTACTGACCTTGACACACTCAACGCCTCTTTTAGCCAGAGCCTGGGCGGAAGCCTTTGACGGGTCTCTGGTAATTCCACGGACAGAGAACTGCGATGCAGCCTTCTCGTCGCTGAGAATGGAGTTGATGACGGAGCCTCCCTGCTTTCCCGTAGCTCCAAACACGACGAGGAGTTTCTTGTTTGTCATTTTTATACGCGGTATAATGGGATCTTGTTAAAAAAGAATGTCTGAATATCCTACTTGTCCAGGGAATAACAGTATAATGATGCAGAATGGCGGGGATGGCGGGAAAAGGGAAGTAGATTTTTATAGAGGCTGCTTGTGTTGCCAGTGATGTCATATCTAAATATTAAGTGTATTTAAATTCGAGCAATATCAGGCTTCTCCGATAACTTGGTACTCTGTAGTCAAGAAGTCTGACAAGGCAGCGGAGAAGGATGACTGAGACGGAGATGTTGGATTGCGGATGAAGCAGAAAAGGAGATGTTTTTTTTATATCTCATCGACTTCACGGCCTCACCTCGACTTCCACAATATCAACATCAACACTCCGGCTACAACTACAGGCAAACTGCGTGAGTCTAGCTCAGCGTCACTGACTTACTTGATTTCTCTTAGCAGAAGGCTGATTCTGCTGTGGTAGCTAATATTATCATTTTCTGTTCGTCGTTATCTGCTTTCACCATCTATAGAAGAAGCACCATATATATCATGCACTTGATTATACCCCTAGAAGAGGCGGCACAGAAGAGTTGTTGAGCTGTTTACCGGGATTCCCTACCTCAGGCATGGGTTAAGATGGCTTATCTTGCTTGGTACATGGACAACGGGTATATATAATATCCTATCAAGTTATACTTGAATTCTTCCCTTCTGGTCCCTCCTCCTAGCTATCTGGTATGTGGGATTTCCAACGGGCAAGTGCTTCAGATGACCGTAATGTGCGCTGGTGCTCGGGACCTAAATGCTTGATCTGAAGCTGTACACAATCGCTCATCAGGTTGATCGCGTCTGTACGCTTGCCTAGTGCGTCCCAGATACAGGCAAGGTTGTTCATAGTCCTTAGAGTATCTCGATGGCTTGTACCAAGGACTCTCTTTCTGAACTCTAGTACTTGGAGATTCAGCGCTTCGCCTTCGTTCCATCGACCCTGTTCGCCGTATATCCGTGCCACATGGGCCATGCTCACCCAGGTGTTTGGATGTTCTATTCCTCGGACCTTCAGCTTCAATTCCATCACTTTCACCGCCAGCTCCTCAGCCTCTTCCAGGCGCCCTTGTTCCCTGTATGCTGCCGATAGGCTCAGCATGGCAGTTAAGGTACGGATGTTCTCAGCGCCCAGGTTTCGGGAAGACACCTCTACTACCTGCTCCCCTAGTTCTACCGCCACTTCCAACATGTTAAGTTTCCGGCATATCTCTGCCAAAATCTCCATGCTGAACAATGTGGCCAGGTGTTCCAACCCTAGCATCCTCTTTTCTACCTCCACTACCTCCGCTGCTAGCTCGTACGCTTTTTCCCACTTCTCCTGGGCCGAGTATATTATTGCCAGATTATCTATGGCGGCCAGTGTATCCTGATGCTCTATACCAAGAATCTTTTTGGATATCTCCAACACTCGCACGTCCATCTCCTCAGCCTCTGCTAATCTCCCTAGTTTGGTATATATCAATGCTAGGATACCTAGGCTAACCAGTGTGTCATGATTTTCCACGTCTGACAGCTGCTTTCTTTCCTCTAAAGCCTCTTCCCCTAACTCTGCGGCCTCGGCCCACTTGCCTGCAGCGTAGTATGACATAGTTAGTAGATATTTACTATCCATTGTGAGCTTATGGACTTCGCCAAATTCTCTTTTGCATACCGCTATCGACTTAGCTGACAATGACTCTGCGTCGGTAACGTTCCCCTTACTAACAGCATAGAATACTGCATAGCTCAAGATCCCGGCCCACTGGGGAATAAAATCCTTGTTCTCCGGCTCCAGATCCATTGCTAATTTTGCATGGGGGAATAATATCTGACATTTTGAACAATTTGGCTCCGAATCATCACACAACTTCGTAGAAAGCTGTCTGATAAATTGTTGTTTCCATGTTTCAAGTAGCCCATGGACATCAAGCCATGTCCGTGTAGCTAACTGTACCAACCTGTGCATCTCGAAGACTGATGGGTCTGTGCTGACAGAGATGAACGAGTAGTCCTTTAGGGTCTGCAGGTCGTTTTCAAAGTCATCATCTTCGCTTAACTCGGATTGGCTACGTACGTTGTCGTTACCATCTTCATAGTCTTGGCTAGAGGATTTATCCTGCTCCATATCATCACGGTAATGATGGAGCATAGATTCAGGAATCCCCTGCCGGTCGAAAAAGCTCATATATGATAGCAAGTCAGCTGCTGACGGCCTCTTTTCCTTTATATGATCAAAGGATATCCGCCATGTTGTAATAATAGAATTCTTCGCATCATGGTCTCGGCGAACTCGCCCTCCCTCATGGCTAAGGAGGTTTGTTTTCCTAGAATCACTTTTATGGAACTTTTCAAGGTATTTCTCCACTGAGAGGCGCTGTGCTCTTTGGGATATGTATGCTGCTGCCTGAACGATTGCAAGGGGCATAAACTCAAGCGCAGCTACAAGGCGTGCAAGTGACTCATTATCAACATCCATGCTACCAAGCTTGATCCTTAGGAGGGCTATTGAGTGGGCCTTGTCCATAGGTTCGACTGTTATTATATCACTGTTGTCAACAAGCTGTAAAGCTGCTTCTCTGCTTCGGCTCGTGATTAGTACAGATCCATTCTGCTCTCTGGGTATATACTTGATTAATCCATTGCCATGAGACTCCTTCCGGAGAAAATCGGTATTGTCCGCATTATCGAGTATGATGAACCATTTCCCACTTTGGCTGCAAAGCCAGTCGTAGACTAGTTTTAGGATATTATCCGACTGAGCCCGGCCAGGAATCTTAGCTCGGTCTGCTATCTCTCGATAGCTTTCCTCGAAGCGCGCAGAATTACTTGCATATACCCAGAAAACCCACGTCTCGGGAGACTTATCTCTGATGCGATAGCCATGCTCAATTGCAAGTTGGGATTTCCTTTTTTTTTGGTGCAAGTCAGTAACTATGAGAGGACAGGAGTTGATATAATTACCCGACGCCTCCTAAACCGACAAGAGCAGCCCAGAAACCAGGAGTGGCTCTGTCGCCGATCTGGTTAAGGATTTCTTCACGTACGACAAAGTCACGGTCACGAAGGAATGGAATGGTCGAGCCAGGCCTGGATAGAGGTTCGGGTAGTTCTATGGCAAGAGAATAAAAAAATCTGTCAGAAATAATCTCTTTGGATCGGGGCGAAAGAGTACTACAATACACATACCAGCTGGTTGATGAATGTAAGTTTGGATGAACCCAGTATTGCATCCAACCTGAAAGCCTCCACTTACTGGCGTCGAGAATGTAGCTGTGACATTATTATTGGCGATGCCTGCAGTGACAGCCTCGAGTAATCTATCCTGCTGAGCAGCAGTATGTTTGAGAAGAGAGAGACTGGTCTCATCTCTAGCGAGAATAGCTACTTCTGACCTGCAGAGCTCTTCCTGTGGTGAGTGAGACGCGGGAACCAGCTCGACGAGAGCATCGACTAGAGCGGTGATGTCCTCTAGCAGCCTGCTGAAATTCTTCTTCTCGTACAGCGCCCACTTGGCCTTCTGTCGTAAACCGGTCTGTTTCTGGCGGTCAATAGCCAACAGCCGCAACTTGTCATGAAGCTCTCTAGCCGCGGGATCCAGATCAGTCGTTGGATCGAATACCGCAAAGTAGCTGGTATTGATTGTAGCAATACGACCAGCTGCAGCATCTGTGCGAGCCTGGCTCTTAAACTTATTTGAGATGCCCTCCGCGTCTGTGAATAGCTCGAGAATCTGGCCCATCAAAGCCTGTGCCTGAGCCATTTCTTGAGGAGAGAGGACTATATCACCCTGTGAGCCTCCTCTGTTCAGGCCCAACGAGGCACCCCATCGAGAGAGTCGCAGTTTCGCGCTATCAAGCCTGAGCTGGCATGTTTGGAAGTCCTTGCCAAAGTGTCGACCCAGCTGGATATAGTCGAAGCACTCGACGGCGTTATTAAATAATGCTGCAAGGCTGACGAGGCCTACAGCAAGGCCTACCGCTTCTGCCATCTATTCTGGGTTTCTTGCTATCTCTGACTAGACGTATATGGAGGACCCGGATATAACCTGCCCATACATCAACACGGCAGTCGTGAAGAGAACAAGAGCCTGATCATATCGTTTCCCCCTCCCTTCTCCCGCTGCAGGAGGCTGGCAGACGTGGAGAGCTGTGATTAGCTGCAAGATGTGAGCAAGGAAGAGTTCCAGGTGTCACAGCAAGGGTCAAGCAGCTACATAGCATCGCCCTTTGATGCTATCAACCATTTTATGAGGATGCCAGTGATGAAGCCTACTGAACCAATGGATGACATTCCATCGCCTTAGATGCACTTCTTTTCTCTCATCTTATAAGATGGCAGCTTCGTGATATCCACGGTCACGACGTATCTTTCATCTTTTCTCCCGACAAAAGGCGATCCTTCGTAACTAATAGGTAACTAGTTAGTCCTTTGGCTACTTGAACATGGGCTAGCAGAGCAAGGAAGTACTTGACATGTTCATCCAACGGACGACAAGTGAGCAGCCCTCGGAATCGCGGTGTTCGAGGTCGTCAAAAGGAGTGTACAAGATATCAAATTAATACACGATGAAAAGCGGTTAAAATACACTAATATCGACTTCCAGGACTTGACACGCGACTAGTCATTCGCTTGTTAACAAATCATATTTGTTTATCCTAAATAACCAGCCAGTATTTATAGGTTGACTGAAAAATCAAGGGACAAAACTTTTTGACATCAACACCTACTTTGATATTTGAACTACCAGCAGACGATGGCATACAGAAGATCCCAAAACGCAACCAAGGCGACATCATTCCCTCAGTTTAGGAGGCTTCCGGTGGAACTGCAGATTATGATATGGGAAGAAGCCTTCTATCTCTCTGCCCCGACGCAACAAGTCATCGAGGGCTACGTACAGGATGACCGTATGGCCGCATACGCCTGCCAGATGGTACTGGCCGCCGCACACGCAGCCATAGCGGCTGTCAGTGGCAGCAGGTTTGATGAAGGTGACATACCATCAGACTGTAGACGGCCTCGCCTCATGGTATTTCCAGCTGCGACGCGGCAGAGCCCTCTCCCGGCCCTGGCCTCTGTCTGTCATAACTCACGCAGTGTCGTCTTGAAGCTGGGACGGGGACTCACCTCCATCATAGTCAAGGGCGAAGGACAAGGAGTTTCGAAACAAGTCTGGTTCGATTTCTCCTCTGATATCGTCTATTTCCCCAATTTATCTGCGGAAATCAGCAATTCCGGTAATTGGGTTTCCCCTGACAACTGGGAGTATCGCCGGCGCATCAAACATCTCGCTGTTGAGTGGTCTTTCTTCCACCGCCTAACGCATTCTTTATACGAAGACTACCGGGTGCACTGGCTCGATGTTTTCTCTGATCTGTACGTGTCTTTTCCTGGCCTAACGGACTTATACATCTTTGTTCCTGCCGTCCGTCTGGCCGAGGTTCCTCGCAGCTCAATGGAAGAAGATTCATCGGACAGAGAAGAGCTATGGGATCATTTTGAAGAACCACAGGAATGTGATGGTCTACCTATTGTGCTGAAACCTATACCTGGCGGACAAACGGTGCGGCTCGCCAGGTGTAGTTGCCCCGAACGACCAAGGAATTGGGATGAGACGATAGTCGAGATTGAGATAGCTCTCAGGTCCCAATGGTTGAAGGAGAGCATTCAGGAAGATCTTGGCCCTGAGGCGGCACCGAACTTTCCTCCGCGGATACATGAAAGAATATTTCTGCGGAAGGGCCTGGATGTAGATGCTCTTCGCCAGAAGAAGCCTGCGTTAGGTTTGAAGGTCGTGGTAGACAAGGACTCTTCTTCGAAAGAACAAAGATAGGATGTAACTAGTTATACGTCCAAAACTCTTCTGCTAAAAGCGTATTCCATCAGACAAATTTCCATTATTGACTATCTCTATAACTTTTCCAACATTTGATAGGACCACGGGATGTACCAGGTACTACTTGACGACTAATGATATATGCACGTAGAATCAATCCCATGTCCATGCTTCGGTCCGTATTTAATCAATCCATCTTATCTCATCCCGCCGTATAAATAATTTATATGCATTTAGGAAATACCCCGAGACACAGAAACCAACCAACGTCCACAATAAAAATGAAAAATCAGTAATGAAAAACAGTGCAATGCAGTATAAATAGAAAAAAAAAAAAACAATAAATAAAAGGTATTTGACTTGAAAGAGTGAATGGAATAGATCCATGCAAAAAGACAAGTAAAAATAATTATGTAGTTTCCCCTTTACACGCAGACGTGAGGGTTCACATACGCATCATGATAATACACAAAGGCAAACGGATGAACGACCGTGACCTAGAACAAAAAATCAAAAGAAAAAAAAAGATTGCCAATAGAATTAAACATTTATCCAGCATGTTTATTGTCTGGGTTCGTGAGGATAGATATTATGGTGTCCTGGTCCGGATGGTGGAGGCCCGCCTGACCCGTGACGAGGCCGTAGATGTTGATGCGGGTTGTTCCCTTGGCCAGGCTGGTGCAGTGAATGGGATGAAGTATTTGGGTATGACAGGCCATTGCTGGAGCCACCCTGGGGATGATGCTGACCCAAGTTCGACGGTGGGGTATAGGATCTACCTATGCTCATGCTTGGGTGGTTAGGTGTACTGGAGGCCGACATTGACCCTCCGGTACGAGGCATCCCTTGCGTATGAGAGGTGACTTGCTGAGAAGACATATGGGGACTGTGGCCAAAGGGAGAGTTGCTACGTTGGCTGAGAGAAAGTGATTGCTGGTGCTGATGGTGCTGGTGAGGTTGTGGTTGATGTGAGCGTTGATGTTGGTGGTGTTGATGCTGGTGGTGGTGGTGATGCTGATGCTGGTGCTGGTGGTGCGTCTGCTGCTCTTGTTGTATTACAGATTGCGGAGGCGGGTGCCGGGAAGTGGACGAGGCCAATGGCTGAACGTGTGGACTATATTGTGACCCATTATTTCCGTGCATTCCATGTTGGTGGGGTTGGGACAGCAGGTGCGGCGGTCCTGGTTGATGCTGGCTCTGGGAAGATTTATGATGGGCACCTCCAGATTGATTGAACCCTGACATCTGGCTCACATGCGGATTCATGCCACCAGGGCCGGATGGCATGGGCGAAGCAGAACGCGGTTGCGAAACTTTACTTGCATATGGCGCATTATGTCGCTGAACAGGCGATCGCGTGTGTGGGTGGGCTTGAATATGACGAGGACCTGGAGACTCGCGGTCTGTGGGGCCTAGATGTGATTGTGGCTGCTGGCTGCGGTCCGGTAATCCCTGCACAGGTGGCTGCTGCAAGGCCTGATGAGAATATGATTGACGCTGCTGGGAAACAGATTGAGGTTGGTCGGACAAATGTTGGAGGCCTGATATGGAGTGGGGTGTATGGGGTCCAGAGCCAGAGAATCCATGACTATAACTAGGCAATCTCGAAATTGAGGGGGTGGACGAAGTGGAGTGCGATTGCTGTTGTTCACGAGGATCAAACCTTGCCATCCAGTCCTGGGTAGTAGATCCTCGAGTCGAGTTAGAAGAAGTGTCTGCATACTGCCCACTAGCTCCGGATTGCGCTTGTGCTTGGTGTTGTTGTTGTTGTTGTTGCTGCTGCTGCTGTTGTGACTGCTGAGAGGAACTGGAATAATACTGCTGCTGCCTTTGATAGTGATGTTGATCCTCAGGAGCCGGCTGTGCTGATGACGAATGACGTCCTTGATACACAGGCCGTGAAGGTGAGGGCGGTCCAATAGCAGCCGGATTTGGTTGGTCGCTTGCGAACCGTTTTCGTGGCTGGGGTTCTTCCGGCTCATCGTTAAGGATATTCATGATATTTGAACGTTTCGCAGGAACATTACGCGGAGGCTCTGGCGCGGCTGGTGCGGCTGGTGCGGTAGCTATCCTCGGTCGGCCATGGTCCGTAGGTGGGGTAAGAGTAGGGCCTTGTCGGACAGACGCTGGATGGCCGGGAGTCAGGTACCCTGATGGGCCTATTGGTGCGGTCCGTTCCATGGCTGGAATACCACTTGGGTCGGCGTCGAGCTTAATGTGCCTCTGAACAGGAGAAGTAACGGCAGAAGTGATCGTGCGGCTTGAGCGACGAGAATGTGTCCGTGAGGCCGAAGTGTTGCGTGCACTGCCCGGCGGCTGCAGGTAGGGCCCTTGAGGGAATGTGGGTGGCTGTGACAACGGTGCGTAGCGTGGGATTTCTCCTAGGTCTTGGATTTGGGGCACAACGTTTGGATTTTGTCGTTGAAGTGTCTGCAGTGGCATACCAGTGGTTGCTTGACCTGTCATTGAATGCGATATTGGCTTCATGTCCTGCTCTGGCATGTGAGCTGCGATGTTAACATGAGATCCTGGAGGACGGTTTTCTCTACGCTCATCAGTGAAATATCCCATCCGAGGTCCTTGCTGACTGCGATGAGACGGAGGCAATTGCGAAGTGCTAACAGAACGTTGGTGGAGCTCATCATTGTTGGCAGCGAGGTTGGGCTGACTTGCAGGAGCCTGAACCAGGGGGTATAATTTTGGCTGCGACCGTTCCTTCTCCATACCATGACGTGGTTGTAATACAGCTGGTGTAGGTGGCATACTGATGACAGATGGCTTGCCCTTGGGCGCTAGCGCTCTGTCCATCACGTCGACGTTTTCTGTATTGGGTGCTAGAGTTCGTGGCGCAACCGACGACGGGGTAGCCTCATACCGTCGCTTTGAGCTAACACTCGGGGTCGGTAGGGGTCCAGTGGGCTCGCCGCGTAGTTTCTTGGCTTCGGCTATCAATGCAGCTTCTTCTAGTTCCGTCTTCCCAGAGTCAACACGGCGCTGGAAGTAGTTTTTGACCTGTATAAAAAGACATTAATATCTGGTTCCATCTAAAGCGTTCAACTGGGAGGCAATGCATACCATTGTAGGGGTCTTAGTCTTCATAAATTGAGAAATGGCCTCAAAATCCTTGCCAAAATGCGCCACTAACTCTGGGAAGTCTCTCTGCTCAGGTACAGACCAATAGCTGGTAGGCTGCAGTGACCCATACCCACCCTCGCCCAGGCCTACCTTTGTATCTGGGTCAGCAGCCTCTGGGCCTTGCTGCACTGGCTGCACCTGTTGCTGTTCCTTATTTCGTGCACTCCTAACAGGCTTCGCGCGCACAACACTCTCCTCGACAGGCTTTTCCAACTCCTCTTTTGCCCTCAACACCGCATCAACCAAGCTTTCAACTTGACCATCCACCTCGGGCTTCGGTAGGGGTGCGACGGCGGGTACAATACTTGCGCACGAAGCAGCCGCTGTGGTGGTAGATGTCCCAGCCTCTGCTCTCGAAGCACCTTGCTGGCCACTTCCCCTCCCTCTTCTTCCACCCCGGCCGCCACCGCCACCACGTCCAGGTCTTCTCCCGGTGCCTCTCTCAGTAGGCTGGTCGCTTGAGTCCTTTGCGCCTCCGCGCTTCCCAGGCGCCGGTGTGGGGGTGTTACTTTCTGTATCAGCGTTCGAGTCACCAAATGTCGGTGCAGCGGCACGTCTTGGCCTGCCCGTATCAGTGACCACTGGTGTCTCAGTATCATCCGCATCGTAAGCAGGCCGGATTCCCAGATCTGCCATGAGAGCGTTAGATTTGGGTGCCCTTGCAGTCTTCCTTGCTCGTCCCTTGCGTGTCCACTTCTTGTTAAGCTTGGCTTTATACTTAATCTCCTCCTTAGTAGAATAGTAATGCATCACACACTGCTGGAAAGTACGGCCAGGTAATAGTTCAGCAATCTTGCCCCATTTTTTAGGGTGAGCCATAAAAGCGTCTGTGAACGCTTTGTGCTCTTCTGGGGTAAAATCGTTAGGTGGAGGATGAAAAGCAAAGACAGTAAAAGCATCGGCCGGATCGACGATTTGGTTCGTATCCTGGAAGAGACTTGCTTTCTTTTGATACTCGTCTAACATGTCTGGGATTCGTGCTTCGCGAGTCATGTCGGGGTTTACAGTGGCTTCTTGGTCACGCCGTCGTTCCGACTCCTCTTGCGCAGTAATTGCTGATGCCTTTAGAGCAAGTTGAAAGTCTAGCTCACTGTTTAGCTTGTAGCCCCGTCTTCCTTCGATTATAGGGACAGCCGCAGCAGACGCCAGAGGAGGCGGGGGAGTCGAGGACGATACCGAGTCAGCCTTTCTCGCCTCTTCTTTCTTTCTATCCATCTCGCGGACCTTCAGCCTCCAGGACTTGTAATACCGTGCATACTCCTGACGCAAAGCGGCATGCTGTTTTGCGACTTCATTTCTCTGCTTTATTATGTCTTCTAACAGCGAGTCCTTGATACGATCATGAAGTTTATAATTTTCCTGTAAAGTCTCCATATCAGAAAACGGTGTCGGAGGGCCGGAGGATAAGAATGGCAGCGATTCAACCGCCTTTGTCTCTATGATAGGGATAGTCACTGCCGTTCCAGCGGAGTTCTCTATAGGCCTAGATTCCTCCATAAGTTCAACCTCTTCCGCTTCCTTACCTGATAGTGGGATAATAGCAATTGGCTTATCAGGACTTTCAATCTCCATAGCAGCACCTGGCTGGTCAAGATATGGTGGAGCAGCGCCATCAGCTATCATCCCCAGCATCTGGATCTTCAAAAGCAGGTCGACAACAACTGGGTCCTGGAGCGTAGGGGGGGGGATGTCTGACATTAGAGTCAACATTTCCTTTTCAAAACGTTGTTCAGATTGGTTGAAGTCTTCTTCATCAAGGGCATCATCATCGTCAGATTGTTGATCACTGGGTTCATCAAAGAGCATTGGAATCTGTTGCTCTTGTCCATCGTGTGTTTCTATTATTTTTTCGGTTTCTCGGGCTGGTGGGGCATCAAGCATCGTCGTATCATCATCAACATTATGAATGAGTTTCTCTGATACCCCTGCCAGCATCGGTTGAGATTCATTTTCATCTCCAATCCCACGGGCGTCTCTAGAGGCCTCTGAGACTTCTTTTTCCTTTCCTTTGTCTTTTTCCTTGTTCTCATTCTCCTCTCCGTTCACAGGGGTAATAGAAGGCTTCGCCTCCTCTTCAGCAGGGCCACTACTGCTCGATACCCCCTCGGGCACGAATGGGCTTTCGAGTGCCAGTCTTCTGTTCCCCTCGTCCCAAAGCTCTTTCTTACTTGGCGGTGAGCTGGTGGCTGACAGTCTTCTATTTACATACCCAGGCCTGACCCATTGATTACTAACCTTGGCTCCTGGTCGTTGGCCATTGGAGCGCTGTTGTTGTGCTCTTGGGCCAGTTGGTATAGATGCAGGCTGGGAATGTGGAGAGAGTGAAGTGGGTGGGGGCGGCGGCGGTGGTGATTTCCGCAGTACCAGTTGTGATTGAGTCGGGAGGGATGAGGCGCGGGTAGATGATGGAACATTACCAGAACTTGGGGGACCAAGTAATGATGGAAAGAGGTCAAATTCTTGCTCAGTACTGGAGAGAGCACGAGAGTCTCCGGACTTGTTTGACGATGCTGGCTCATGGGTGATGCTTCGGTCAAGCGCGGGGACAGGATGACTGTGATCGAGCATGTAGCTGGGCTGGACTACCGGCGATGCTGTCGGCGGCCGACTTGATCGAAGAGGTACATCGGTTTTACTTCTGTCTGGACGTTGCTGGGCATCTATTCTATCAGCTCTAGGGGCGGTGGGAGGCTTAATGGGAGTAGAAGGGAAGAGGTCAGGACGCTCTTTAGGTACATCTGGCTGCTGCGATGGTTTTCTCGACGGTTCAGGGGTTTCCGCGGAAGGGGCGTTAGAACCAGAAAGAGAACCAAAGGCAGGCACTTCCGGAGGAGCAGGAGAAGGAGAGAACTGTGGCGTGGGCCGTTCAGAGGGAGGCTCGGGCTGAGCGGGTGTAGCATGTAATACGTGTGTGGGTGTACGAATGGGGGTGGCATGCTCTGCCCTTTCCAGCGGCCTTCTTGATTCTCTGGGGGTGGAAGATGTGCTACTGGCCTTCCGGGGTCCAGCAGGCTCTTCTTCAGGGCCGGCACCGGACGCACCGATGGACAATAGAGTTGGTGTCTGGGATACAGCCGATAACGGGTTAGCAGAGATAACGGCGGGCGTCTTAGTGTCGATGCGAGCTAGAAGGCGATCCTTTTTCCAAGGCTCAGCGCGGTCAAACCGATCCCTATCATCCCGCTGTGACCATCTATCATCATCACGACGGTCGAAACGGTCCCTCCTGTCCAGATCTCGATCAAGCATACGATCTCTGTCCCTATCCCGGTCGCGTGGGTCACGATTTCGGTCCCTGTCCCGGTCCATGCGGGAGTCTCTCCAGCCATCGCGGGATCGACTTCGACCTCTAAATAGATCTCGATCATCCAGCGGCATGCCTCTCCCCCGTCCCCGATCCCGGTCCCCACGCCCACGGCCTCGCATCGAACCTCCTCGCATGGATGGAATATCTGAGAGTGCAGTGTTGAGCGAGATGGGCCCATCTCTAGAGTTTCTTCGTAGACGTGGTATATCCAGCTCTCTGGGGCCGCTGTCTCGTGAATCTCTAAAATCTCTCATGGGAGGAGACCTCGATCGTCCTCGACCAAACCCCATGCGGCCGTGGCCATCGCGGGAATCAAAGCCGCGATCCCTACGAGGCCAATCACGGTCTCCGTCTCCTCGTCGGGGTGGCGGGCCGTCCCGCATGTCCCTCGAGTGATCACCTCTATCCCTATCTCGATCCCTGAAATCATTCCGGCTGGAGAACCCTCTCCCCCTGGGGCCGGATGGTAGAAAATGGCCACCTCTAGAAGAGTCGATCAACGCCTTGGGGCCGCGGGGAGGATCCCGACCCAGTGGTGTAGAGTTTGCATCTTCATTCCCTCTAGGGCCTGAGGGTATATGTGACGGGCCATGAGGCGGTGGTGGGCCCCTATCACCGTATCTAGATGGGAGTGGTGAGCGGTCCCGCGACGGGAATCGAGAAGCCATAGGCACGTGACTGCATCAAAATGTTCCAGAATAACGTTCAACACGTGACTTCCCGATGTGACGGAAGCAAGGAAAAGCGCCAACGCGCAAAGAAAAAAATGCGAAAAAGGGCCAGATATGAGCAAGAAGATGTCTGGATAAAGCTCTGGAGGGCCTTAACTGAAGTACAAAAAAGTGTGAATAGATGAATTCAAGTTCGCCAGGGCGGTCATAGGGCTGGGAACGAGGCCAGATGGACAGATTGCGCGGTGATGGAGCTTCAGACCAGGCAGTCGACCTTGCATTACAGGGGTGCAGGGAAGTCCAATTTCCGACCGGACAAGGCGGGAAAGGGGAAAAGATTGAACCGTTGACGATGGCCTGGCGAAACGGAAACGAGAGCGATATCCCAAGAGTACTCTTGCGGTGAAAAAAAAAAGAAGGGCCCCAGACCGGGAAGTCGATAAGAAGATTGAAGGAGCGAAGAGAAGAGCAAAAAAGAAAGAAGAAAAAAAAGAAAAGGAAAAGCAGAACAACTATCAGGCTAGAATATTAAGAGAAAATGCGCGTTGATGCAGCGCAAGGCAGCCCGGTTTCTTCTCCCCGTTTTTTGTTATTTGAGGCTGTGAAAGGGAAAAAATAAGAGGCGAATTCCCCAAAGCGGGTCTGACATAAACAGAATCTCCCAGGGTCGATGGAACCGGTCTCTCTGGCTGTCTGTCCTCTCTGCTCCAGTAATGTAACTGTGGAGGGGAGGAGGATATGAGGTTGAAGATCGTAAAAGTTCGAGAGAGAGAGAGAGATTGAATGGGGAAGCATAATTAGCGGGCTTTGCGCTGTTTTAGAACGTCCAAACCTTTCGCGCCCGCGCATGGGCGTCGGTCACGTGGTAGATCCCATCCCAAGATCTTCTTTTTCTTCGCTCGCATCGAAACGAACCGTCGACATACAACATATAGTTATGTACGGAGTAATAAGAAGTTAAGGTTCTCAGCGAATCACACCGTCAAAAGCAGCCAAGTCTTGCTGTTCCTTACCACCGCCTCCTTGCCCTCCTCATGGCCGTTCAGTTGCTCAGATTCGACACCTTCCCCTGTGGGGGAGCAGTCACTAGTTAGGTTTTTCGCTACCTGACCAGTGTGTGGCTTTTTCCCTCTTTTATTTCCCCCTAGCCGCAGCAGAAGGTCTGGTTTGCAGGGGGCCCTGTTGGCAATTCGCACATCCCGTCACTGTGGACCCGGTCTAGCGCTGCTCAGGAGTCAGTCTTCGTCTTGACTGGCCCTGATTGGCCGCCCATTTCAAGGAACGCAGGGATGTCCGCATGTTCTCGAGCAAGACAGCTTTTCTGCAAGCACTGCAAAGCCTCTTGGACAGGTCGCACCACCCAGAACTCCCTTGAAACCGCATCGACCAGTTGGCCACAAGGAACCTCCCTCCTGCATCTTATTCGTTAAAACGCAACTGACGCAAACTTACGCTTGCAACTTGGTTCGACGTTGGCCCTCTTTTTAACTCTTGCTTCCCTCCTCAAGCTTCGTATTTCATCAAAATTAAAGAAGAAAAGCAAAGAGGAAGAAAAAAAAGAAAAGAGAAGCCAATATAGAGATATTCACGTGATTTAAAGATGAGGTAATCTTGAAGATGATGTAAGCAATGATCCAAACTTTGATTTTTTTTTTCTCTTGGTGGGATGAAGAGAAGAGGATGAGAAGACAACAGAAACAGAAGAGAAGACGAGAAGAAGTGGTTGGAGGGTCGATTGAGACGGAAGAGAGGGCCACCGCTGGATGCTACTTTGACACGCTGGCGAGTGCTGTGATCGAAAAGGCCATGAAGTGAAAGACCAACATCCCACCTAGAGATAATGGCATCCGAAGAACTTGCGCCTGAGAGCGCCAAAGCAGCCGTCTTGGTTCCGTCGGAGGCTATTCCTGAAGGTGCAAAACAAGTCAAGGGCCTCGACTTTGATCAGTATGCCGATCGAGACATCACTGCCGCAGAGTTGGTCGAGAACATGGTTACGATGGGCTTCCAGGCCAGTTCCGTTGCTGAAGCGGCTCGCGTAATAAACGACATGGTAACGGCACACACACACTCTCTCTCTCCTACAAACTCAGGACTGGCATCCTGTCTAATACGATAAATAGAGAGCCTGGAGTGACCCAGAAACCGGTCAAAAGACTACAATCTTCCTTGGCTACACTTCAAACCTGGTGTCTTCCGGCCTGCGCGAGACGATCCGCTATCTGGTCCAACACAAGCATGTATCCGCCATCGTCACCACTGCTGGCGGTATAGAAGAAGACTTTATCAAGTGTCTTGCTCCCACCTACCTCGGCACCTTCTCCTCCCCTGGAGCCGGTCTTCGTTCCAAGGGCCTCAATCGCATTGGCAACCTCATTGTGCCAAATAGCAACTACTGTGCATTTGAAGACTGGGTAGTTCCCATCCTCGACACCCTCGTTGCAGAACAAGAAGCCTCCAAATCGACAGACACGCCTCTACACTGGACACCAAGTAAGATCATCGCCCGCCTGGGCAAAGAGATCAACAACCCTTCTTCCATATATTATTGGGCCTGGAAGAACTCCATCCCCGTCTTCTGCCCCGCCCTCACGGACGGCAGTCTCGGTGACATGATGTACTTCCACACCTTCCGATCCTCCCCCGACCAGTTACGAGTTGACATCGTTGAGGACGTGCGCGCCATCAACACCTTGAGCGTGCGCGCGAAGAGAGCGGGTATGATCATCCTCGGCGGCGGGGTAGTCAAGCATCACATAGCTAATGCATGTCTGATGCGCAACGGCGCCGAGAGCGCTGTGTACATCAACACCGGACAGGAGTTTGACGGTAGTGATGCAGGAGCCAGACCTGATGAGGCCGTTAGCTGGGGGAAAATCAAAGCCAATGCAGACAGCGTTAAGGTATACGCGGAAGCAACGGTGGTATTCCCGCTCATAGTTGCCGCGACTTTTGCACAGAAGAAACAGACTTGAGTGCATATTTGGTATTTGCCTGGTCTGTAGCGTTCCCCGGTATCAAAGCCTTGGATAGCCCCACCACGCTTCCATCATACGATGTGGCAGGCCCGCCAACTGCAGAATACATTACGGAGCAGCACGCGTGTTAATAGCCAGCATGCTGTGAGAGCATTATATTATATATTATCTAAGAAAAAGTAAATGCGCTACACCGAATAGTACTCAGCCAGGAAGCTGCCGCCGTTTGCCCGTGAGGATCACAGCTTTCAGCATATACCTATCTTTTGTTAACTTTGACCCGACCTAACCCGTTGCATAACTATTGACTTACCCAGATAACTAACAATCATTCTATGGTTGTTCAACTATGCTGACTTACTAAGAACGGGCCCAAGCCGCGGTAAACGCATTGCAATTTTGTCTATTGGAAAAGAGTAGTTCATTATATCGAAGGAGAGACCTGCCTAGATCTATACAGTCTAAGATGAAACTAAACATATTTTACACAGGCATATAGGCTTTATTCATTCCTACTCATACTCGGTCATAAAGTCAATATCATTAATATTCACATTTCCCTCTTCCAGTTCCGGCCGATTAATTATGCTATCGAAAAAAGCCATATCTACACCTTGAAATGGCCAGTCGTCTATTGCGGTTGTTAAGCCGGGATATAAGTACTGATTTTGCACTGTGTCGTCGATTGTGGTCGATAATTGGGATGTGTACTGCTGTATATCAGATACGCCAGCCTGCGTTAGTGGCGTTGGTAGCATAGACGGCGACAAAGATGGACAAGGAAGTGTGACTGCTGTAGGGTATAAGGAATAGGGCTGGTGAGCGGGTGAGGTATCTGGCAAGGTATCACCATTGACTAAACCAGAGTGCATATGCCCTGATCGTTGAGTTAATGGTGATGATAGGGGCTGAAGCTGCGGTAATGGTGGTGGTATATCTCCCGCCCACGGCTCCATAGAAACTATGCCCTCGTGGTTTAGCCTCACAGTACCAAAGTACGGGATATCAAATCGCAGAAACTTCCCGTCTTCTGTTATGGTAGAGTCCACCTGTGGCTCGGCTAATGCTATCGGGGGGGTGAAGCTGTTCCCCTTAGCTGCATTGGATTCAAATGCGAGAAGCGTCTTAAGCAGGTCTGAGGCACGTTCGCTGAGGATATCAGTATTAAGCTTTGCGACGCCCTGCATAGTTTCCAGGACTTGTTCAACCATGGCTCTATCGCTATTTCGTTGGTGTGTAAGCAAGCTGTTATCTCCACCGCTTAGCTGGTAATATCGCTGTTGGTGGTGTGCGTTAAGATGGGCTATAATCAATGTCATGGCTGCAACAAGGGCAAAGAAATCGACAGATCGAAGAGCGTATGCGACGCGGTTAAAGGATCGGAACATAATGAACCGAGTTAATAGCCCTCGCGATGCATTGGCGCTTGCTATCTTGCTTCTATCGTAATTGGCTGCAGTTGTAGAATTACCGTCTGCTCTGGGCTGCAATCGTAGCATGTACGGCAGGTGTAGGAGGTTAAGCAGGTTGAAATAGAGCATCTGATCGAAGAGACGGATGGTTTCCGAAAAGGTCTTTCTCGGGTCATGCAAGACACTGGCCAGGTTAGGAACCAGCCACCATCTATTCGGCATCTCATTAGCAGCAGCTTGCAGGTCTGCATCGATACTGTATAGAGTTTCCAGGCTGCTCATGGCAGACGACTCAGCCGACTCATTTAGTTGTAGGACGCGGGCTGCAATGACGCACTGCTTGCGTTCAAATATGCCTTCGACGGTATCGCCTTCTAGGGCTTCAGGGGAGGCCATACTGACATCCAACGATCCCTGTGGAAGGCCAAGCAACAAGCACAACTGACGATCGGTACAGACTATACGGAACCAGAAAAAGTCCGGATAGACCGGTTGGGAGGGATCAAGAACCTTGAATGGCTGGTGAACGCCCTTGCGATGTAATCCCATCATCTGAGCTACCAACATGGCACGGCGACATGTAAGCCATGCACGGCGAAGATGGCCACTATTAGCCTGTACCATTGATTCAAGCATGATACATTCTAGACTCTCGATGGAGTCTAACATGTCATCGTTTCTGGTCACCAATGCGGCCACTGTGTCAGTGAGACGATGCATGAGCTGGCGTGGCTGCTCCGAGAGGTGCTGGATGTCGTCTTTGTGAATCTCGGGGTGTAAGTACTGCAGACATGTAGCGAGGATGAGTAGATACTTTGCAAGCAGGACAGGGTGAGCGGTTGGTAAAGGTATATTGGCCAGGCTTCCCTTGAAGACCCCAGGTGCCTGGGCTTCTAGGACTGGGTACGGAAGCGTAACCACTTTGTGTAGCGAGACGTCGATACCCGCCTCGATCATGGTATGGATATCTTTGTGAGGAGGCAGGGCGGCGTACAGCGCGGCAGATATCTTATCATAGCTTGTGCCGCCATCGAGGACAGCCGTGGTGGCAACCGTTGCTGGCGACGGTATGATGGTCGAGGAGGCTAGATTGGCCATGCTAATACCCTCCCCGATGCTCGAACTTGGAGCAGATGAAACAGCATTTGTTGAACAATCATCGGCCGTCATGTTCCTCCCCGTCAAGCCATCACTTACACCAATCTTCCTAGCTAGGTGCTCTACAAGTGCTTCCACACGCACTATTCGATCACGCTCCAAGGAGGAGGAGGAAGATGAAGCTGCAATTGCGATCTCCTCTGGGTATTTCTGGCTGATGCAGCTAGTCCCCCGCCTGCGACATGACTGACAGACAGAATCTGCAGCCGAAGAAAACGAGCACTTCAACTTGCGACGCTTGCATTCCCAGCAGCTACGGGTTCCCTTGCGTAGTTTTCGGTGGTGGCCAGCGTCTCTATTGGTACCATCCCGTGAACTTGACTCTGAGTATGCAGATGTCGGGGTGGCCTGCATGGTATTATAGCACCATGCGCCGCTAGAGTCATATATCAAGTTAGATTAACCGTAGCCAGAGAATGAATCGTTATCAACCGTTAGAAGATATCTCACGATGGATATCTGCCATATAAGCTGTCCAACTAGTGATTAGCTACTTTCCTGCCTTCGACACAGTAGCTAATAGCTATCACATCAAAAAGGGCTGATCAATAAACAGTTGATCTCAGCACAATAAATTAAAATAGCTGAAGACTTGCCAGGCATCCATCGCTGGTTGACTAACTAAGATGCGGCCCGGAGGTTGAAAAAAGTGACCAATGGGAATCGCTGCCTATCAACAGCGACTTCACACTTCACACTCTGGCCAGATGAGCTAAAGACTTAACTGTCTATAATTCAAGACTATAGATGAGCTTCAGACTTGGCCTAGATCAAGTCGATACAACTGCCTCTCGCTTGAGTAGTGCCACTCATATTTCCAATCAGCCACAGTACTTTTTCATATCTCCATGTTGACTTATCAACCACCGGAACCGGAACCTATGTCTCTGACGGTGGATAGAATACCTCGAGACTTGATACAAGATAGATACACATCTGAAATTAGTATGGTCAGCCACTATGGAGGAGAGGTTGCCATATCAGTTGCTAACCAAGGCCTCTCTCTCTTCTTATCCCTGGCAGAGCGGAGATCATCTTATTGCACTCGAATTCCCAGCGCATTCTACCTTGAGGAATTCCATGACCAAAGAAGTTGAAAAAGCCGTATGTATGGCAGCCTGGCAACAGCGTTGCGTTCCTCTACAGACGCAGTGAGGGCAGAGGCCTCAATTCACACGGAGGCGTACTCGCGGCATAATAGTCCAGAAAAGCTGGCATAGATAAGCCAGGATGATTTTCAGATGTCTCATATAAATACTTTTTCAGGTACATGCTTACTCCGGTATATGATGCATTCTGGTTGTTTGATTCGTGCCAATTTGATCGACGTCTACAGGATATTCCATCGGACACTCGCCTCAGCGTCCTGCAGTTCGGACATATTTAAGCAAAAATTTGCTCCTAACACCCTCTTTACGTAAACCTAGTAGGCCCTTTTAAGGCCTCCCTAGGCGCTTCATCCCTCCAAATACCTCTATATAGGTACACCCACCACGGATGAGGATCAACTATGATCCCACATCTTTGTCCGAATCTCGGCGGAAGAACAGCCCCAGCTCTGCTTATCGCAGGCCTACTTCCGCCGCAGCGCTGGGCGTTTACCCCCCTGACGACAAGCGTTGATAATTACATCTGGGTGTTGTCTGAGTGATAATGAATCAGTCAGGATGGTTACAGCTCCGGGAACACGGCGGAGTTGGGTTCCCTCCGCAACCTTCGGGGTATGGCTCCTATTTTATACCTTGAGTACAGAACTAGAATAATACGACGGGGCATAACAGTGATCTGGCTACAGTCTCTGTGCTATTCCGACTCGATTCGATCCTTCTCATTATATCCAATTTCGCTGTCATTGTCGAGGGCCCCTTCTTCACCCGCTTAGAATATTTAGGCCATTATCTATCCAGGGTGTTCTTGACTGACTCAGACCACCATGCTGGCCACGCGCACGAGACTTCGGAGAAATGGGGTAGCTGGACCTCTGTCGCAGCTGATGATAGTGAGCCAGATGTCGCCGAGTCATTCAAGCTCCGCCATTCCACAGTACAGAAGCTCGCCCAGATATACTCTAAGAACGAATACAGCCCTGATAGCCAACCTATATTTGGCAGCACCGATCAAAACTCCCCTCTAAATCCACATGGCAACAAGTTCAATGCTCGCGCGTGGGCTACAAACATCTCAAGGGTCACCAGGGAGGCAGGCCAGAGCTTTCGTCAGGTTGGCTTGTGTTTTCAGAACGTCAATGTCTTCGGCTATAATACATCAGCCGATTACCAAAAGGATGTAGCCAATATATGGCTAGCAATTCCAAACATGGTTCGGCGTTTCTTGTTTAGCCCCTCAGGTCAGACACAAATCGACATTTTGCGCCAGTTTGACGGTATCATCCATCCTGGCGAAATGTGTATTGTCCTTGGCCCTCCGGGCTCTGGTTGTTCAACTTTCCTTAAGACTATCTCAGGAGAAACGAACGGTCTCTACATTAAAAATGGCTCATATTTCAATTATCGCGGTCTTTCAGCAAAAGAGATGCACACAGCGCATCGAGGTGATGCTATATACACAGCCGAGACTGACGTACATTTTCCAATGTTAACAGTTGGCGAAACATTGACCTTTGCGTCCCGCGCACGCTGCCCGCAGCAACTGCCTCAGGGCATTCCTCGTGATGAGTAGGTTCAACATGAGCGGGACGTTTCGTTTTCTCTTCTAATGCCATGCTTCATAGATACTGCGAGCATTTTCGAGATGTCATCATGGCCATGTATGGTATTAGCCACACCGTCAACACTAAGGTGGGGGACCAGTTCATTCGGGGAGTCTCAGGGGGAGAACGCAAGCGCGTAACCATTGCTGAGGCAACTCTGGCCAATGCTCCATTTCAGTGCTGGGACAAGTAAGTGAAAGTTATATTCCATAATTCCTTTCCATCATAACTAGCTAACAGTTTGCCCCAGCTCAACCCGCGGACTAGACTCTGCCAACGCTGTCGAATTCTGCAAAACGCTGCGGCTACAATCCGAGCTTTTTGGCCAGGCATGTGCTGTGTCTATGTACCAGGCTCCACAAAGCGCGTATGACTTATTCGACAAAATTCTACTCATCTATAATGGGCACCAGATATACTTTGGGCCTGCATCCAAAGCTAAGCAATATTTTATCGGCCTTGGGTTTGAGTGTCCAGAACGCCAAACAACCCCTGATTTCCTCACCTCCATGACGCTCCCTGTAGAGCGCATCGCGCGTGCTGGCTTCATACCCCCACGGACTGCTGAAGAGTTTGTGAAAGCCTGGCGGAATAGTACGGAGTATTCCACGCTTCAAACTGAGATTGAAGAATACAAGACGCAACATCTGATTGATGGCCATTATGCTGAAGATTTCCGACGACTCAAAAGGTCACAGCAATCCCGTGGTCAGCGTCTCGGTTCACCATATATCCTGACCTACATACAGCAGGTTCATCTTTGTATGTGGCGCGGGGTGGCACGATTTAAGGCGGATCCGTGGCCAGCCATCTGGGTAATGGTCGGGAATATCATGATGGCTCTCATCATGTCTTCCTTATTCTACAACTTACCCATAAACACAGGCTCCTTCTACGGCCGCTCTGTCGTCCTTTTTATGGCCATCTTGTTCAATTCCTTCTCCTCCATTCTTGAGGTGATGACGCTTTATGCTCAGCGACCAATTGTGGAAAAGCACACCCGATATGCTTTTTACCACCCATCCGCCGAGTCATATTCTTCCGTGCTGGTTGACCTACCCATTAAAATTACTAGCACTATTTCTTTTAACTTGGTGTTTTACTTCATGACCAACCTCCACCGTACACCTGGGAACTTCTTCTTTTACTTGTTGGTCGTATTTACCATCGTTTTGGCCATGTCTGGTGTATTCAGGTTCATGTAAGTTGGTGCTCTTGACCATGAAATGTACTGAGGAAATGTCACTAACTATTTCCAGCGGTTCGCTATCCCGGACAGAGCAACAGGCCATGGTACCAGCTTCAATAATGCTGCTTGCTCTACTTATCTTCACTGGATTTGTTGTCCCAATCGACTACATGCTGCCCTGGTGTCGATGGATTAATTATCTGAACCCTGTAGCCTATGGTTATGAGGCACTTATGATCAATGAGTTTCACGGCCGCGAGTTTCTGTGCACCTCCTATATCCCCGACTACACAAATGCTGCCATGAATAATGTAGCTTGCAACGCCGTGGGTGCTGTTTCCGGTAGCATGTATGTGAATGGAGACCACTACATCAATACAGCATATAGCTACCACCACAGTCACAAATGGCGTAATTTCGGCATAATCCTCGTCATGGCTGTTTTCAACCATCTCATATATTTTATTACTAGTGAATATGCTCGTGCCAAAAAGTCCAAAGGCGAGGTCCTTGTCTTTCGCCGAGGGTTCATCCACCGGTCTCCAGCCAAAGGCAGCCATGATCCCGAAAATTTGATACCCGGGCTAGTACCGGTGATAGCGTCACCAGAGGGCTACACATCCGAAGAAAAAGGTGGTTTTCAAGGCTCCACAAGCGTATTCCACTGGAGCAATGTATGTCACGAAATCAAGATCAAGAAAGAAACTCGGTGCATCCTAGATAACATTGACGGCTGGGTTAAGCCCGGAACTCTCACAGCCTTAATGGGTGTTTCTGGAGCAGGTAAGACCAGTCTTCTAGATTGTTTAGCTGATCGTCGCGCGGGCGTTGGTATCATTACTGGTGACATCTTGGTCGATGGGAAAATGCGTGACAATGGCTTTCAGCGCAAAACTGGCTATGCTCAGCAGCAGGATCTCCATTTAGAGACAAGTACCGTTCGAGAGGTAAGTCTATGAAATTTCGGAGAATATCCATAAATTGCACTTACACTGCGCCTAAAACATGCGATCTCTCGGCTCTTTTGAAAATCTGCCTAGTACTGATTTATTGTCTGCAGGCATTGACTTTCTCCGCTCTCCTTCGACAGCCAGGAAATACCCCGAAGGCTGAGAAGCTCGCATATGTTGATGAAGTTATCAAGATGCTAGACATGCAAGAATATGCAGATGCAGTTGTCGGTGTTCTAGGCGAGGGCCTCAACGTTGAACAACGTAAACGTTTAACTATTGGTGTCGAATTAGCCGCAAAGCCACCAGTACTACTCTTTGTCGATGAACCTACTTCGGGACTTGACTCTCAAACTAGCTGGGCTATCTTGGACTTACTGGAAAAGCTATCGAAGGCTGGCCAGTCAATCCTCTGCACCATTCATCAACCATCCGCAATGCTATTTCAGCGGTTCGACCGCCTACTCTTACTTGCAGAGGGAGGCAAACAAGTTTACTTCGGTCAGAAACCCCAGTCCCTTAGTTGATGGTCTACTTTAATTGTCAAGATGGCATACCAGTCAGTTGGTTTACATAAAGCACTAATACATACCATTGATACACAGGTGACATCGGTGACAATTCCCAAATTCTTATCGATTACTTTGAGAGCAATGGCGCTATCGCTTGCCCACTCGGTGCCAACCCAGCTGAATGGATGCTCGAGGCTATTGGCGCTGCTCCTGGGAGTTCTTCTGATATTGACTGGCATCAAATCTGGCGTTCCAGCCCAGAATATCGGGCTGTTCAAGAAGAATTAGCACGACTTAAGGCTAAAGGTTTAGATCAATCATTGGAAGATGCGCATAATTCGGCCTCTTACAATGAGTTTGCTGCACCGCTATCGCAACAATTTCTTGTGGTTACAGAACGCGTTTTCCAGCACACTTGGAGATCACCCTCCTATATCTACTCCAAGCTCTTGCTTTGCATCACTACTAGCCTATTTATCGGCTTAGTCTTTCTTAACGCTCCTCTGACCATACAAGGGCTTCAAAACCAGATGTTTGCTATCTTCGAGATGATGAGCGTTGTTGGTCAGCTAGTGGACCAACAAATACCAATCTTCGTTTCGCAGCGCGCTTTATATGAGGTCCGCGAGCGCCCCGCCAAAACATACTCCTGGATAATCTTTATGGTCAGTCAGATTATCTCCGAAATTCCTTGGAATACCCTTGCCTCAGTTCTTATGTGGGCTTTATTCTATTTCCCTGTTGGCCTGTATAAGAATGCTGTAACTGCCGGTCAGGGTACCGAGCGAGGGTGGTTAATGTGGCTATTGTTCTGGCAGTTCCTGCTTTGGGTTTCCACCTTTGCACATATGTGCATCTCCTTCGTCGGCTCTGCTGAAGATGGCGGCAACATTGCAAATTTTCTCTTTGTTCTTATTTTCTTCTTCTGCGGCGTTCTAGCTTCGCCCGCGCAAATGCCTCGATTCTGGATATTCCTGTACCGGGCTTCGCCATTGTCGTACTGGGTATCGTCAGTCCTATCTACCGGCCTAGCTAACGTTGAAGTTTCGTGTGCGAATAATGAGTTCATTCTCATTAACCCTCCGGATAGTCAGTCATGCGGTGAGTACATGGCTGACTACATATCAAGGATAGGCGGATACCTATCGGACCCTCACGCAATGGACATCTGTGAATATTGCAAGATCAAGGATACGAACATATTCCTCGAACATGTGAGCTCATCATACGATACAAGATGGCGCAATTTTGGTATTTTATGGGTGTACATTGTGTTTAACATTGCGGCAGCCATAGGTCTTTACTGGCTTACAAGGATTCCAAAGGGACGAAAGAAGCTGTGAGCAGGGCTGTATCCCTCCAGAGTTAATATAAACAGCGTGGCTAAAGTGTAGTATTGGCGCGTGGACTATATCTCTAATCCTATTAAAGGAATCTAAGGAACATAATGATAACACAAACCTCGCGAGATTTTATAACTAGGATAATGCTAGTAACCAATGGTTACAATCCACCCTCTCTTATATAACATTATCTGATAGGAGCGTACAGTTGGTCACCCTCAATTGAGCCGCCATTCCACTCGGTAGGTAGCCATATACACCATATTCATTGCTCAATGTCATAATTGAATTTCCATGGTCATACTATTATAGGTAAAGCATAAAAATTGAAGCTATAAGCTTCGCGTCGATTAATATTTCTGATTGTCTATATATTACCCTATCTTTTGTTTTATCAAAGCCATAGTTACAGTTGAGTGTCTGGCCGTTGGGTAATAATAATCATTCAGTTCGTCTTACATATACCTTGCTACTTCTGACCTCGTTAGCTAACTGTCAAATATGAGCAAGAGCAGCGAATGATGATTGGCTGAATGAGTTTGAACGTATATATAGGTGTAAAATGTACGTATATTGGTGAGCTTGAAGAGCTTAGGTGCAGGGTGTAAGTCTCTGCCGGATATAACAGGGGCAGTGTACGTGATCTAACTACGTTACTAACTAAGTACAACATTTAACATATCCCCCTAGCTCGAACGAGCTAAAATAGATATATTAAACGATTTAGACGTATAAAAATAGGAAATAAAGCCATATAGTTACCGGATTAGAAAGGTACTACCGGTAGGAAGGTATTATAAAAGGTAAAAAAGAAAAGACACCTACGTAGGTACTAGTATCTACCTTTATATCCCTATAGAGAATCTAGGCGATATTAGATTATAATCTAATAAATTTTATATATTGTACTAGGTTCGAACTTAGAATCCTCCTTTTTTAGATATACTACTCGGTTACTAGCCCTATTTAAGTAGTAAGAATATCCTAGAAGTTAGTAGTAAGGAACGAATTTAATAGTTAGTTAATAAAAAAAGAGACTACGTAGTCTTCGGATTTAGGACTACTATAGAGGATTTAGTAAAAAGAAAGACGCCCGTACTAGTCCTAGTTAATATTAGCCGATTTATTCTAGGTTACTCCTTATTAGAGCCTATTTTCGGTTATATTTTTATATATTTGTAGCCTAGATAGGTATCGAACTTAGGACTTTATATATTTCTAGAACGATATAGCCGATAGGTTACTAGTTCTATTTAGGTATTAGTAACTATATAAAAGAGCGTAATAAGGGCTAAATTAAATATTAGAAAGGAAAGAAATATAGTAGTAAATATAGGTATCTACGTTATTTATTAGTGCCGATATTAATATTAGGGGCCGGATAAATATGTGTTCCGGTCTTAAATAGGAAATTTTAAATAGACTCTAGTTGCGATTTTTATTATAGATTTGAACGAATTAGGCTCTACTTGGGCTTCCTATCAACGAGGCTAAGGTATCGCAGGAACTACTCGTACTGCTGTTGCGCTAGGGCCTTAGTCAGCCCGTCTATAGGTATCTGATTGGTTAGGATCTACTTAATATAAATATTACCGCTTTAAATACGTTCTCTAAGCTAGTACTAATAAATATTAATATACTTAAGCTTCGTTAGTAAGAGCTAAGTAGTCTTCTTTATTAGGCTAACCGTTTAGGCGTTATTATAGTAAATCTCGTACATTTGGCCAATATCGAGTTTTACCTAGTTAAATAGGTGCTACTACCAGATTATCTAGGCTATAGTATGCGATAGTAAGGTAAGTTTAGCTTCCGTCGTTAATATTATAACCGTTCGTTAAAGCGTTACCTTCTAATTAATAGGTCTACTAAATAGCTTAAAAAGGTATCCTTTAGAGCTTCGTCTCGTTAGGTTATTATCTATAAATACTATATTACTTAAGGCTTCAAATACTTAATATTTTTTAGAGAATTTATAGAGGTGATCGGTAGTATATTTAATAGATAGATCTTTAGTATCTCGTAGGTAATAGATTAGCCTATTAACCTATACCGTATATAATAGTGAAGGATTTTTTAGGAATTAAGCGAGCCTACTCGTTATAAACGCGATATCTAGTCTAGTAGTGATCGCGGTATATAGAATAGATCTAATCTTCTATTAGAACTCTTATATCTAGCTCTACGTTACCTAGCTATTAAAAGGTTCTAATTTCTATTCTTTCGCTAACGGTATTAAGGCCTTGGGTATATATTATAGGTTATAATATTCTATAATCTTATTAATATACGTTCGTTAATTTAACCAGATTTTTCCTATATTCTCGTCTCGTTAAATATTAATATTTAGGAACTACTTGACGTTCCTAATACTCTTAATCTTAAATCTTACTATTAGTTTACTTATAACCTATTTAGCGTATCTACTATACCTACGTTACTAGGTAATAATAATATCATCTACGAAGAAGAATAGAAGGACTTTACCGTCTATTAGGAGGTAGGGTTCGTCAGAAATAGGTTTAAGCCCTAGTTCCGAGAGTACGTTAGTAAGGGTATTTAACTAGAGTAACGGAGACCTTCGTAGGCTATATAGAGCCAGATATAGCTTTATAATATATTCGTTCTCTTAGAACCTATTAGAGAACTCGTAGTAAATTTCTTCGTTAAGATAGGTATTTAGGAAGGCGTTTACCGCGTCTCCCTACTACTATTCGAGACCGAATACTATAACTACTAAGATAAGTACTCTCATCGTCCTAGAAGCTAGCGTTACTATATAGATATCTAAGTTCCCTATAATCTATATATCTCCCCTTATATAGAGGCGTGCTTTATATTTCTTAAGATAGCTGTTTCTATTAAATTTATATGCGAAGACCTATTATAACGGCAATACTTACTTACCTTAAGGTTAGATTACCTTTAAGAATATGCCTCGTCCCTTTATCTTTTCCTATTTAACTTAGGCTACCTTTATAAATTCGTCCTTTCCCGGGTATTTAAGTATCTTGTTCTAGTTTTTTAGTAGTAGAGGTAGAGTAGACTAGTAAGATATTATTTGGTCAATTAGTTCGCGAGGATATAGGGTTCCTATATAGAATACTATATATAAATATATTAGTAGAGGTTTTAAAGCTATATAAAGACCGGCTACTCTACGAGAAGGCTTTCTCTACCTTAAGCAATCGATAATATATTCTAGTAATAGGTCTACTATTAATCCTAGCCTCGATAATAACGGACGTACTATTGTTAGAACTTCTAGCTATTAAGGCTATTGAGGCTTAATTAGAGTTTATTCCCGTTTAGGTCTAATATCCGTTTCTGCTTGATATTAAGCCTCCGGCTTAGGAGTCGATTCCGGTAATACTAGTTGCGTTTAGACTAGTTCTAACTAGAACTATAGGTTTGTATTAACTTACGGCTCTTTTTCTACTAGGGCTTAAGGTATAGATTTAGGAACTAGTAGTACTAGGGCTTATAATACCTTAGGTATAGGTATTAGCTCTCCTAGAGGTATTTAGGCTACGTTACTATTATTTATTACAATATCGATTTATTCTATTATCTCTTCGGTTCTCTTATATAATTAAAGACTTAGCGGCTTTTCGTCTAGGTTATATATTTTAGTCTTATTAAAGACTATATCTCTAGATCGAATTATACGTCTTAGATATAGTATCTAGATTCTAAAGATATTCGTTAAGTCGTAACTAGTAAAGTACTTAATATAAGCTCGTAGAGTAACCTTTTTACCCCTAGTAACTTTAGGATTTCGAATATAAGCCTTGTATCTAATAACTCGTAGGTATACTAGTAACGTTAACTTTAGAATATAAGCCTTATCCGTTCTCTTCTTCTTAAGGTATTTAATTAGACTTAAAAGAGGTGATTTCTAACCTAAGGACTACGTTAGCAGCCTGTTCGTAATATAGGCTGTAGTTTTGATAACCTCTAGCCATATTTCCTTAGGGAACTTTGCTTCTATTCGTAGTATCCTAGTTAGTGAGGTTAATATCCCGCCAGAGCGTTCTATAGGCCCGTTTTACTCGGGCGTGTACTCTACTAAGTATTTAATTATTATTCCTTCGTCCCTTGCCTAGTCCCTGAATTTGGTAGTTAGAGAACGTTCGACGTTAATTCGGATAATAAGAACTCGGTACCTAAATTAGCGCTTAATATAGGTAACTTTGCCCTTAATAGAGCGTAAGATTATTCCTTTTAATATTATATAGTCTACTTTGTACTATTTAGTTACTTCGTAGAAGTAGTGAGCTACCTATTAGTCCTAGTTATATCTAGCGAGTTTAATATATATTAGGTTAACGTATAGATATTAGAACGGAGCTATTACTCTTAATTTGGGAATATAGTATGAGATCTACCTTTTTAACTTTGATACTCCGTAGGATTAATAGATTAGTGCGGGTTCGCCTTTTTCTGGAGCTTTTGGCCGGACGATCTCGATATCGTCTGATAGCTTTTTAATATGCTTCAGAACTTCGTTATTTGGGTGTCCTAACCGCCGGTACTACATTGCTTCGTTTGCAACGTTCGATTTCGGAGCTCGCAATAATAATAAGAATACTAATATTCCTAGAGCTCGGGCCAAGCGTTTGGGATTATTAAATTTAACTACCCTTATTCTATATATCCTATTTATTACCGTAACCTCCTTTCTAGACTTCTTGTGCCTTATTCGACCCGTTTCGGTATTAAAAGTATATCTAGCCTTGTCTAAAGGTTCGTCTATAAGTAGATTTATATAGAATCTAGAAATATATAGAGCCTATTTAAGGATAACCTCAAATTTTATTCCTTTAGGACTTATTATCTAGATTCGAGTATCACCTTATTCTATTATATTTATTATATTATTACTAGTAAGGACTTCGTTATTAAATAACTCTATAGTAAGGAACCTATTCCTATCGTTAATTATATGGTTAGTAGCTATAGTATCGTATACTATACTATTTCTTAGGTAGTAGCTTAATATTTAGCTATATACTAATACTATATTAAATCCTACCGTAAGTAGTACTATAGGATAGAAGTCCTCGTCTGTTAACGGCCGAAGAGAGTTCTATTCAACTAACTAAGGGTATCCGTAAGTCGAAGACAAAACACATGGGGAAG